CGTTTCCGTTCCAGCTGCTTTCCTCACGCTTTTCCTCTTGCTTTATTTTACTGTGTCTTTTGTTTTGTTTGTAGGTTTTGTTTTTTTGTGGGTTTTTTTGTTGTTGTTCTTTTGTTAAAATAAAAGTGGGGTTTTGCCTTGTTTTTCTTCCACTTGCCAGCTGTAGGTAATGTAATTGACCCTGGTCTGTATTTTTATCTCACTGAGGGCTAAGAGGGGGGAGGACAGACAGGAAATGCTGTGAAAGCGGTCTTTCACACATTGATACATTCGCTCACTTATTCATTGCACGACTATCCATTAGGCCCCTGGACTATGGCGGACACAAGCTACGTGCTAAGGACATATGGGTGCTAAGTTGAAGGGAAAAGAAATGTATGCAGAGATACTTGGAAAAGTGAGGCTTTAAAAATTTCTTTTGAACTACCTTCAAAAAAAGGGGCAAGTATAATTATTATTAAGAGAACAAGTTAAATCTTAAAAAAAGAAAAAGAAAAAAAGAGTATCTAACTCTAATTTAAAAAAAAAGTCTGGATTATAGAAAGTGTGAAAAATTATAGCCGTCACATATGAGTTTGCCTGTTGTTTCAAAATGCTAAAACTGTCTTGAGCCTACATTTAAAGGAAGAATCACAAATGAAAAGTTGAGCAGGAGGTATGTAGCCAAAAGTTGTTGGAGAGAAAATTATTCTTAAAGAAGACAATGAACCCCAAACTTGCAGACACAGTGACATAAAGGCCAAAGGGGCTCACAGCCAAGCTGGAGGCTGATCTTCATGCAGCAGCGTCAGTGCAGGAACAGAGATGGGCACAGGGGCGAAGGGAGCCCTGGAAATGGGGGCAGCTGGGGAGGCAGAGGGGTCAGGGCAGAGTCCACAGCACAAGCGGTATCTGGGCTGAGTGTTGGCAGCTGAGCTAAAGCTACTCTGCCTTAAAGGGATGGGAAGGGATATTCCAGATAAAGGGAAACCAATGTGCAAAAGCGCAGCCAGAATTCAAAAAGGACTGTGGTCCAAGAGATACACATTGGCTGGCTGGTGACAAGAGTGTAGGTCTGGGAAAGGCAACGGTGAGGCTCTCAGTCTGCAGAGGGACTTGTAAGTGGAGAGAAGCAGCTTAGGTTTTATATCTATAAAGCGTAGACTACCTTCAAAGGACCTGAAGCAAGACAGTGGTATGATGAACGGTGATTTAGTGGCAGGAGGGAAGACAGGAGAGAAGACAGTTTAAGGAACTATTATTAAGCAAAGTACACATAGGTTGTTGTAGCATAGTACACTTTTTGGAAAGGGGGAAGAAAATTTTATACTTGCAGATGCACTGAGTTTGACCCTGCACTTTCTGCACTTTCCCGTTGGGGTTTCTTTAATTGCTCACTAAAAGGGAACATGAGACCCTGGCAATGGCAGCTCCCCCCAGGAGGGGGATGGGGAGCTCCTTTTCAAGGAGAGGAGACTTCCTTTTCTTCCTTTTTTTCTTTTTTTTCTGTATATCCTTTTGTATACTTTCGCGCTTTCGATTTTGTACTTTGGAAGTGTATTACCTGGCCAAAAATTAATTTGCTTTTTAAGAGGTCATTAGACCATCTAGAAAACATTGTTAGGGAGGATGTGCCTGCCACCCTCCCCCACCTCCCCAGGGAGAACGTCCTT